TCTCTGTCTGTGGCGCTGACGCTGCCGATGTGCAGGGCGGGGCTGTTGTTCTCGGGAACAAACAGGGTGTAGGAGGTTTTTGTGAAGGCGGGGGCGTTGTCATTGACGTCGGAGACCAGCAGGGTTATGTTGTACTCGGTTTTCAGCCTGGGTGTTCCCAAGTCGGTGACGGTGATGGTGATGTTGTAGTCAGTGTTCCTCTCTCGATCCAAAGGTTTCTCTGTCACCAGAGTATAAAAGCTCTCTACAGATGGCTTCAGGAGGAAGGGTAGATCGTCCTGGATGGAGCACACCGTTTTTCCATTGTTCCCGGAATCTCTGTCTCTAACTCTGAAAACAGCCACGACTGTCTCGGGTGAGTTTTCTGCAATTGGGCTAGTAAGTGAAGACAGGAGCAGCTCGGGTTGATTATCGTTTACATCTGTTACCTCAACCACCACAGTGCATTTTCCGGAAAGCCCGCCGCCGTCTTTGGCCTGAATAGTTAATGTGTAGGTCTGAATTGCCTCATAGTCCAATTCCCCCTTAAGATAAAGATTGCCAGATGTTGGATTGAGTTGAAACGTTTTGAGAATTATTTCAGTGGCATAAAAAAACGCATAGGCTATTTCCCCATTAATTCCGGTGTCTAAATCTCGAGCGGACACGGAGACAACCATGGAACCAACCGGGCTATTTTCGGGAGCCTGCACCTTGTAGAGAGACTGCACAAATTCAGGCGCGTTGTCATTTATGTCTACAACCATGATGCGCACAAGGGCGGTCCCGGATCTGGGCGGAGAGCCGCCATCCAAGGCCGTGAGGGTTAAACTGAGCTCTGGAATGTCTTCCCGATCCAGCACTTGGTTCAGCACCAATTCGGGATGGATATTCCCCTCCCCACTATCACGGACTTGAATATGGAAATAGGCATTGGGGCTGATGGTGTAGTTACTCAGGCTATTGGTTCCAACATCTGAATCCTGTGCACTTTCTAGGAGAAATGCTGCTCCTGGAGTGGCGCTTTCTAATATTTTCAATGAAATCTCTCTATCTAGAAATACTGGAGAGTGATCATTGATGTCTCTGACCCACAGTTCAGCACGGAAAATCTGAAAAGGCTTTTCCAATAACAACTGGAAAGGAAGCACACAGGGCTCTCTGGGTCCACACAGTTCCTCTCGGTCCAATTTCTCCTTTAGAAGTAAATCACCAGTGAGCGAATTGAGCAGTAAAAATTGCATGTTCTGGTCTGAAATAATTCTAGTTCCCCGGGCTGTCAGTTCCCCTACCCCTAACCCTAGGTCTTTTGCCAGGTTGGTAAGAAAAGCACCTCTCTCGGTTTCCTCTGCCACAAAATACCGAAGCGGTTCGGCGCCAGCCAAAGACATTCCCAGAAATACACAAAGAAATAGGACTTGCCTTTTCTGCACAGCACGCTCCACTCCGGCCTCCATTCTTCCTTGGATCAGTCTTTCAAAATGACTTCCATCCAGTCTCCAGCAGCTCTCACAAATGGCAGCAGCCGAATCCTTTGAAACAAGCTGAATAACAGCAATGTTTGTGGGGAAGGATCCTCGCTTTCCCCCAATTCCTATCACCACGGTTTCCTTTCCTATACTTTTCTGGTCAGATTTCCTCTTTACTCTGGAATCTGTAACATCCTTTCTTTCCAAAGGTATTTCTCTCTCTTTTTAGACAGCAGCGCCACCTTGCGTTTTGTGAATGTTATTCCCGTTCTCAAGACTAGAACAAAAAGATGGCGGATTGAAGGAATTCTGCAACCAGAGTGACTTGTCCCTGGTATCTTTGCTGTTTCATTCCATCGTTACCCTCAAATGGTCATAGAAATGCTAGTAAGTAATAACTGATGTTGTTTTCCCCTGTGATAATCTGGATTTGTAGAAAATTTAATCAGTTGTCTTCTTAAATCCAGGGGCACGAAACAAAACTCTGGTTCCCCACCGAAATCTAAGAAAACCTCCTATTTTAAAAATGGATAGTAAAAAAAATATGAGAAAATGAAGCCTCTTCCCTGAAGTTAACAAATATTGGTTGAGGACATTTTATTCACTTGTAAAGTATTTTAACAATAATGATGCAGATATGGCAGAATAATTGACCTTTTTCCAATTTCTTGTGAATTAAACAATTCTTCCACTTTCCAGGTCTCAACTCTTACCTGTGATATTTCTTGAAACACTTTTTGCCTGCCCCAATCCAACCTTCATCCTTCACCTGCTTTAAGTATTATATAGAAATTATTATTCATCTATAATTTCAGTGACTAGAATTTCCAATATCCAATGAATACTCTTAAAATTGGTAATAACAAGTATGTCAATCTTGCATTTATGAAAGTAATTCCAGTATTTCATCTTCAACTATAATGGTTGATCTCAATTTGAGGTGAATAATACTTTTTTTGAATCAAGAAGATTTTCTTTTTCTTTATTCTTTCATATTTTGAAGTAATTTTGATAGTTTTTGAAATAATACATTTGTTCTTTAGTTTCTAAATTATTGAGTTATTGATATAAATGACATTTAACTATAATGTATTATTGTTTTAGTGCACAGATAGATTTGATGTGTCAACATGGTTTTAGGATTTTTCTAGTTCATGTTTTCCTTGTGTGTGTTTGCCTTTTACAGCTTTAATATTAAATGATTATACTGGCATCATAGAATGTGTTAAAGAGCTTTTTATCTATTTTTATACAATAGTTTTAATAATTATATTATTATATGTTTCTACACGCTTAATTCCAACTTGCCTTTTGAACTGGTTGGGCTTGGTGGCTTTACTTGTAGCAGACCTGTGATGACCGTTTACATTTTACCTTTGGTTTAAGTACAATCTGTTCAGGTTTTGTACTTTTAAGTAACTTGCATTTTATTTTGAAAATAATTTTATCTAGTTTGCAAATTGCTTGGCATTGTTTTCATTGTGCTGTTTACCTTTAATTGTATCCCTATTCTTATTAGTTATGTTTAGCACTTTATCTCCTTTTTATTCTTGGTGAGGCTTGCAAGGGCTCTACTTTACTGATATTTTGAAATGCATTGTTTCAAAATAATATATGACCTGGTTAAATAACACTAGGAGGCTTATAATAAAATACAAGGCTTTTCCACACTTTTCCTCCTCGCTTGTCTTAGTTCCTCTCCTAAGTTGTAGCAATTTTAAAACTCTTTTCGTTATCTCTTCTGCCACTAATCTGTTTTCTGATGTATTTTGATTAATTTTAGAAATTATCAATTGACTATTATGTTGGATTACATTTTAGGTATTTTAGTTTTCTTTTACTTACAATATGTTGGGAACATTATCATATATTCATTATATTTTCTTTTTCACTTTTTTCTTGAAGTTAATAATTACCTTGCCTTTTCATTTACTTGATTTTTTATCCCTATCACTTATTGATCCCACAGATACAATTGCCTCTCAGTACAATTTTCCCTATAGTCATTTCCATTCCTCCTGAGGCTTCAATTTTCCATTAAGTTGGGTAGTTGCTCTCTATGCCTACTGCATAGCTATCATTCTGGATTTTTTCTTTGCTGTCATTCTTGAAATTCTTTGCCTTTTATTCTGGATGTGTTTGCTATTTCTGGGATTTTATATCTTGCCCTTTTTCAGTTTACCCTATGGCATTACTAGATCACATCCTCCAATAGGTTTATATGATTGAAAAGCTGCTACGATGTTAGGAGGATTGCTAGTGATATCCTTCAAAATCCCTGTCTCTTGAGTCAAATGGCTCCTTCCTGGACTAGTTGTTTATTATGCCTGAGACTCAGTTGTCATCCTGGGATCATCCGTCAGCATCACCCAGAGATTCATTTCGCTTCTGTCCTGTTTTTGATCTTCTCATTTCTGGTTCTTCTGTCTTTCCCACTCTTGAATTAGGTTCCCATTTTGATAGATATCTTCCAGTAGTTTTCAGGGAAGGGTGTTTAAGAGTTCAATGTTTTCATAATCTTAAACATACTAAAAGATCTTTATTCTACCTTCAAATGTAATTAGTAGTTTGAGTAGGTATAGAATTTTAGGTTGAAAATAATTTTTCTTCAGAATTTTTGTTTTGCCAATGAGCTTTCTAAACCAATCTGTTTGCTAAGATGTATGAAGCATATCTTATTTCTTATCTTCTATATGTGACCTATATTTTATTTTTTTGTTGTTGTAATGTTTTGTCACTGTCCCAAGCATTTTAAAATTAAACAATCATATGTTTTAGCTTGGGCTTATTTTCCATCCATTGTGAAGTATAATTGATGAGATATTTCATCTAGGAAACTAATTTCCTTCTGAAATCTCCTTAAATTATTTCATTAATAATCCAACCCCCATTCCTTTTTTAGAATTCTTATAATTCAGATGTTAGGCCTCTGGTATGGTTCTCTAATTTCTCTTTCCCCCACTCCTGCTTGCCATTTAAAAATATTTTTGCAGTATTTTCTAGAACATTTTCTTAACTTTATCTTTAAGCCCTTATATTGAGATTTTAATTTCTTTATTAGGTTAGTATTTTCCAAGAGTTGTTTCTTTTTTTAAAAAAGAGCTCTCTTTTTGCATGTATTTTTTAAATGTAATAACTTCTTTTTTCATCTGATATTAATAATAGCTCTTCCCCCAAGTTTTCCTCTTGCTGCAAACTTCCATTTTCTCCAAGTTACCTTTTTACTCTTTGCTTTGTTTTAATTTCTATATTCCCTTTCAGAAACTTTCTTCATGTGTATGTTCTTATTTAGTTTGGGAGACTACGGAACTAAATGATGGCTCTGAGTAGGTTGGTATGCTTGTCCACTTTGATTTTTCATTCTAAAGTGACCTGAGAGCACTGATGAGTGGGGAAACCTCAGTGTCAGTATGATTAGGTCTTTCCAGTTAGACTGGCCAGACTACCTCACTCTTAAATCCAGAAGGAAAAGATATAGATTGAAAAAGGTGAAGGATTAAGTGGGTGAAGAGGAGTACAGTTTTGCACCAGGATAGGATGTTATGCTTAATATCTAACAACTTCCCCAAATCTCAACAGCTTAACACAATAAAAGTTGATTTATTTCTCATATAACCTATATAGTTCAGCCTGGGGCCTTCCTCACAGCAGTCAGTCAAGGATCTAAACTTGTAGAGATCATCCTCACATACACTTTCATGATCACTGTAGTGGGAAAAGATGTGTTTAACCATGCCTCCAAAAACTTCAGCCCAGAATGGATATATATCACTTCTCACATTTTATTAGCCAAAGGAAATTACATGGCTACACATAATTTTAAAAAGAAATAGAATTGAAATTCTGTCATATGTCTAAGAAGGGGGGAACCAAAATATTTGTAATTGGTTCTAATGACTATCATAGCATTTGAACAATCAACCAGAATTCAATATTTAGTTGGTTACTTACTTTTGCTACCAATATTACCCTTGTCCTCAATTTTGTTGGTGGAACCCCTCATATAATAACCCTCCTTTTTGCACTCATCAGAAAATAAAACTTCAGTCTTACATTAGGGTCAAGGGGGTCGGTAGGTTACTTAGTGACTGAAGGGGGGAAATGTGATCTGACTGCTAGAGATTTAACTGCTTTACAGGAAGCTTTAACACAATCCTTCTTACTGGGCATGTTACCATCATTTCCAGAGGATCTAGGGTTGACATTTCAAACACCTCTAGAAGTCCCATCATCTAAACAGAATTGATTCTAGTCCCATAGTCTAAACAGGATTGAGTCTCAGCTCCTCCCACTTCACGATTGGGAGTTAATTTGTGAGGTCTACTAAGTCATTCATCTGTTTTCCAACTTAAAAGAGTTTTTCCTGTTGTCTTCTACATTATTCTCTTCATCCTCATTAAGTTTATGTTTTTGAAAATATGTTTACTTTTTGTTAGTGTATTTTTAGAGGAAGCCAAATGAAAGGTGCATATGTAATACACCAATTATATGTAGAACCTAAAATATCCTTGGCTTTTTCAAAGAAATCAATTTTTCTTTAATTGGTCAAACCTTATGTAGTTTTATTCTATTTAATTAATTTATGCTTTTATATTTTTAATTCATTCCTTTTATTTTTCTTATTTTTAAAATTCTTTTTTGATTCTTGAGCCATTTACTTTGTCTCTTTGTTCTCAACAAACTGTGATTTCCAAAATATGTATGTAAGTCTTACATTTTTCTCTACCCTTTTACTCTTACCTTAAATATCACTTTATCAGTTTACCTTGAAGTTACAGACAAAGCCATAATAACAATGGCTTAAACAAAATATCAAAGAAGGCTAGTGGCCGAAATGCACTCCATGGTATCTGGGACCCAATCTCATTCCATCATTGATTTGCTGTCTTCAGGACATGACCTTTACTTCATTATCCAATGTAGCTGCCTGATAGCCAGTCATTACATCTCCATTCATGCCAACAAATAAGAGGAAGGAAAGGGTGTGATTTCATTTTTTTGTGTATTTTCATTTTTTAAAAGATTACTTCCATAAGGTATTCCATGGCACCTGTGCTTTTATCTCACAGTCTATAATTTAGCTACAAGATGACACCTGGCCTCAAGAGAGGTTGGAGAATATAATCTATAGCCCACATACCTACCTAAGCAGCTAAAAATAAGAAGTATATTAGTAATAAATAAGGGGAGAATGTATATTTGGGTTAAAGTAGCCAT